AGAAGATGTGGTATATATATACCGTTGAATACTGCTCAGCCATAAACAAAGACAAAATCATCCCATTTGCAACAACATGGATGGACCTGGAGGGTATTATGTTAAGTGAAATAAACCAGAAAGAGAAAGACACACAGGGCATGATTTCACTCATATGTGGAAGATAAACCAACACACGCAGAGATAGAACTGTTTGGTGGTTACCAGGGGCTAAGGGGTTGGGGGGTGGGCACAAGGGGTGGAGGGATGCACTTATATGGTGACTGATAAACAATAATGTACAACAAAAATTTCACAATAAAAAAAAAGAATGTCTGCTCTCACCACTGTTACTTAACATGGTAATGGAAGTTCTAGTTACTGTAATAAGACAAGAAAAGGAAATAAAAGGCATATAGATCAGAAAGGAGGAAATAAAACTGTCCCTATTTATGCAAATGACATAATTGTCTATGTAGAAAGACCCAAGGTATCTACAAAAATCTAGAACTAGCAAGTGAGTTAAGCAACGTCACAGCATACAATATCAACATATGAAAATCAATCACATTTCTATATACTAACAGTGAATATGAGGAAACCAAAATTAAAAACATACTATCATTTATAATTTCTCCAAAGAAAATAAAATACTCAGGTATAGTCTTAACAAAACATGTATAATATTTGTATTCTGAAAATTAAAAAATGCTGATGAAAGAAATCAAAGACAAATAAATGCAGAGACATATTGTACGCATGGATTGGAAGACTCAACATAGTAAAGATGTCAATTCTCCTTAAATTGATCTATAAGTTTAATGTACTTCCTGTAAAATCCCAGCAAGATTTTTTGTAGACAAGCTTATTCTAAAATTGGTATGGAAATACATAGGTCTTAGAATAACTAAAGCAATCTTGACAAAGAACAATAAAGTGAGAGGAATCACTCTAACCAATATTAAGGCTTACTATACAGCTACATTAATCAGGACAGTGTAGTATTGGTAGAGCAATAGACACATAGATCACTGGAACAGAATAGAAAATCTAGAAATTGATCCACAGAAATATGCTCAACTGACTTTTGACAAATGTGCAAATGCACTTCAATGGAGGATGATAGCCTTTTAAAAAGATTGTGCTGGAGAAATTGGATATCTATAAGTAAAAATTAAACCTTCACCTAAACTCATAACTTACACACAGCTAACTCAAAATGGATCGTGGACTTAAATGTAAAACATAAAACTATATAACGTTTAGAAAAAAAATATAGACAAATGTAAAACTTCCTGATTCAAAAGAAGATTGAGCCGATTGAAAATACCACTGTGTTTTTTTTTTTTTTTTAAAGATTTTATTTATTCATTTTTTTCCCCCCAAAGCCCCAGTAGATAGTTGTATGTCATAGGTTCACATCCTTCTAGTTGCTGTACGTGGGACTCAGCCTCGGGTTGGACGGAGAAGTGGTGCCTTGGGCCGTGCCCGGGATCCGAACCCAGGCCGCCAGCATCAGAGCGCACGCACTTAACCACCAAGCCACAGAGCCGGCCCACCACTGTGTTTTTGAATAGGGAGACTCAAGATCATGAAGATGTCAATTTTCCATAAGTGAATCTATAAATTCAATAGGGTTCCAATAAAATAATACCAGAGTTTGATTTGCTTGTATGTGTGTAACTGTGCTGAGTTAGGTATATTGTGTACGTTGGGGCGGTGGAGGGGAGATGTAAATTAAACAAACTGCTTCTAAAATTTGTATGAAAAATTTAAACAAGAAAAACATCCAAAAACATTCTGAAGAAGAATAATGGCAAATAACTAGCTCTATTAGATAATAAAACATAAAAAATATCTATGGTAATTAATATTGTTGACACATGGAATAAATATATGTATTCAATAGAATAAAAATTCTACATTGTTTCCACATTCCACTTTGTTTCAGAGGACTTTAATTTGCCCCAGGGAAGGGTCAACCCAAAAGAATCAGAAAAAGAACTTGGTTGATTTCAAAAAGATTTTTTAAAACTCCTAATTAAAACATTTGTCTTAAAAGCTGAAACTTTTTTTAACTTTAGCAAACTTTTCTGGAGAGAAAAGCCTCTTTTAGTTTACAAAAAATGATTTTGAATATCAAAAGCCTAAGTACTAAAGTAGTTTGAATGTGACATGTATAATGTAAACTATAGAGTTAGGATGAATTTAGGTTTTTCTGCCAAAATAAAATAAAGGCACCCAGCTTTGTGAAGACAACACTAGAGTTAACTGGATATTAGGGAAGGCCGGGTCTTGCATCTACCAGCTAAAGCCGGCTGTAGGGAAGGATCTGATAAAAGCAGAAAGGGTATGGCCCCTGCTTCCCAGGGGAGTCTCTTAGAAAAGGCCTGAATCCTGGCAGAGCAGAAATGGGTGAGTGAGTCTTGGTGACACCTCACTGAGTCCTATTCACACCATTACAGGGTCAAGAGCGCAGCTGAAGGCCTAGGTGCCCTCAAGAAGTGGCTGAGAGAAGGCCAACGGATCTATAGTAGTCACAAGGAAAATGAAGTGCAGGGACCACACTGATTAAAGAACATGGCAAGACCAGAGTCATCTCAATGGATACCGACAAGAATGGCCACTGTGGGTCATGTATCTCCATAGAATCCAACATGGGCAGGTAAGAAGTCACCATGGATCAGGTTCCTCTTCCCCCATGCTAACAAAACTAGAGCCTTGACCAGAATTTGATTCACTTCCAGGATAAGGGGGAAGAAGGAGGAAGAGCAGGATCTTGAATTTCACGGTGTTCACTCATAAAATGACTTAATCACTAAATTGCCTGAGTTTACATGAAAAAGACTTGATGGAACACTTTTCCACCAGCAGGCAGATTGGGAGCTCTGAATTACAAGGTAGATTGAATTTGCAGAACTTTTTTAAAGTTAGTTAGATTTTTATATGCCTGCTTACATAACTTATAAAATTCACAATCACTTTACACATTTTATTTGATATTTCTGTATTTCAAAAATATTTTACAATGAGAATACTGTGTACTCATGTATTTCTTATGTATCTTTTTACAAATAGCTCCGTATAGTAATTTTGATTTGTTCAGTAATTACAATTGTTAATCATTATAGTTTTATTCAACACCTATTTTGTCTCAGATTTGAGTCTAAAGTTCACTTTCATTCTTTTTTATATTTTTGAAATGAGGAACAGTAAATACTCTTTTATTATTCCATTTCTAACTCACTTGCTTTAATTTTATGGGTGTTTTCATGTCAAAATCTTTTATTGTTGACTTTTTTCAGCTTTTCAGGAGTAATAAAATTACCTAATTTATCAGAAAGGTGTTATGCTGACTCTTTTTCATATTTCCATTTAATTCTCTTTCCTTGACTTTGTGACTTGGCTTACAAAGCACAGGAGAGGACCCAATCTGAAAGACCTTTTCTAAATTACTTTTGGCTCCTCCTGATCCTTCCGTTGTTCTGCCTTCTACTCTCCCATCGCTGGAAACTCCAATTTGGATCTGCTTCTAATTTTTCTTTCTTCTTAGCCAATTTCATAGCATTCTTTCAGCAATCTGTTTGCTGAGCCATCGGTCTCCTCTTCCTCTGAGCCTGTTGTTCATCCTGTCCATAAGGGAGACATTTCTTTCAGCCCCACAAGTGATACCGGCTCAACACAAGGTTGACATGAGGGAAGCCATATTGTAGAAAAGAAGCCCTATTGTAACTTTGAATGACCACTGACTAACTAACCCAGCTGGATATACACGCTCCAGGAGATCTAACTGCTCTGCAGATTTTACGACCCCTGCTTGTGCATGTACCTCCCAGCTGCGATAAGATGATAACTTTGTTCTTTTGAGTTCCTTAGGAATGTGATGACCCCTGAACAAAGAGTCTATGCTGATAGCCATCATCAATGAAAACTGAAAGATTTGCTGTGGCAGCTCTCAGTCTGTAACACCAGAAAGTCAACATTCCTAACCCCCTCCCCTATAACCCACCAGCCTATATAACTGCTGTAAGGTTTTGTGCCCCCTTAAGATGGTTCTTTGAGACATTAGTCAGCCATCTTCCCCCTTGCTAGCAAGCTGTAATAAACTGCCCTTTCTTTTCCACCATCTTGCCTCTTGACAATTGGCTTTTGTCTCACAGCGAGCAGATCGTGACCTTTGTGCGGTAACACAAGCACTTCTTCATGTGGCTTATCTTTAGCCAGAAGAAATGAAGGATCAGACCTAGTCATGTGAGCTCTGTTTGCGTGGCCAGAGCTCCTTGTCTGTGATATGTGGTTAGGAGTCCTTGCCACTTAACTCCCCTTCTCCCCCAGCCCCAACTCCTAGTTCCCTTTCCTTTGGAGTCCCACATGTGAGTGACAGGAAACTTGCAGCAGTTTGCTTAAAAATATTCTCTCTAGAAGATTTTTAGCTCATTCCAAACTCATTTCATAAAAGATATCTATATTTTTGCTTTGCTTATCTTATTAAAACATAAAGGAATTAGATTTCTGCACAATATCCTTTCCAGTAACCACTTGTTGAAGCACCCAATTTATGATAAAAGAAGATTCAGTCGAGTGCCAATTTTAATGGGGTTTATACTTCAGCAAAGTGGACCGGTCACTTTAAATTTAAGCACAAGATAAACACTAGATCACAATCTGACCTTGCAATTACCTCCTGGAATAGAGCCAATGGGTGTCTGTTTACAGGTCTGTAGAGTGACTTGTGTTTTTATTATGTTAACAAAGAGGTTGAGGAAGTAAAAGTCAATTATTAGAGGCTAACTCACAGCTTCACTTTTGCCCTGGCTCTGACTGTGATGAAGAGACTTCACCAATCACTTGAAACCCTGGCTCTATAACTTTACCTATAAGCTTCCATCTGGAAGACATGCAGGCCTATTTGAGTAGAGATTTCATTTTAGGAAAGGGATTTCCTAACTACCACTCTCCGCAGAGCATCCTGGATTTCTTTGTTTCTCAGACTATACACAACAGGGTTCAGTAAAGGTGTTATGACCGTGTAGGTCACTAAGATTAACTGATCCTGATCTTTGGTGTTCTCTGACTTGGACTTGAAATAGGCAATGGAGGCACAGCCGTAGTGGACAATGACCACAGTGAGGTGGGAGGCACAGGTGGCAAAGGTCTTCTTCCGGCATTCAGCTGAGGTGATCTTGAGAATGGTACAAATAATGAGGACATAGGATATGAAGAGGAAGGTGACAGGGGCTGTGATGGCCAAGAGGCTGATAATTAAGGTCAGGATATCATTGATGATTGGGGTAGCACAGGCCAGGTCCAACACAGGTCGAACATCACAGAAGAAATGCTCAATCAGTGTATTGCAAAAGGGCAGTCTGAAAATGGCCACAGCCCGAACCAGTGAGAGTGAGAACCTTGTGGCACAGACTGAGGATGCCAGCATGGCACAGACCCTCCAATTCATGGTGATTGAGTAACGAAGTGGATTGTAGATGGCCACATAGCGATCATACCCCATTACTCCTAGCAGGAGGCAGTAGATGATAGCAAAGCCAAGGAAGAAAAAGAGCTGAGTCCCACAGCCCTCCAAGGAGATAGATTGGCTCAATCCTACTAGGATGGAAAGCATGCATAGGATAATGACCAGGGAATAGAAAGTCTCTGACGTGGAAAGGACACTTAGACAGAAGTACATGGGGGTGTGGAGGTGATGGTCAATACGGATAATAGTCACAATGATGACATTGCCAGCCAGAGTTAGGATGTACAGGGTGAGAAACACCACAAAGAGTGTAAGCTGATGTTCTTGGAAGTTGGAGAAACCTTGAAAACAAACTCTTTTACCTCTGTATGGTTGGCTTTCTTCATTGAGGATCTCAGGTCTGAAAGATAAAGAGAAGGTCAACACCACCTCCTGGCACCAGAGACTGCCCTGACCTCTGGTGAGCACACTGTCCAGAGTAAAGATTCAATACCACAAAGACCCAGTTCAAAACTTCATGAATCAACTGCCTTTTCCAGGGACATGGCAGACTGTGTCCTAGAACTGGAAGTAAAGATACAGAAAATTTGAGCAACAATATTTGAAAGTTTGAGGTAAAGCATTTTCATGTACACCTGGGTTATTTAAAAAAAAAAATAACCACTTATGTATGGCCCATTAAGTTGGTCTCAAAACTTTCTTAGGACTGGATTTTTTAACAATGTAGACCACATTCTCAGGCTGTAGTGTGATGTAGTTAGAAATTGCCACAAAAAATAATGTGAAAAATTGCAAATGTTTGATAATCATGTTTGATAGTTCAAAGAGGAACTTATAATGGAAGTTAAAAAATATTTATAACTAAACAATAATAAAAGAATCACATACCAAAACATGTACAATGCATTTAGAACATTATTAGAGGGAAGTTTATAGTTTAAAATGCTTGTTTGTTATTTAAAAAAAAAAAAGATACTGAAAATTAATGAGTTGAGCATCCATCCTAAGAAGTTCTAAAAACAAGACAGAAAAGAAAGTAGAAGGAAAAAAACAATAATGATAAAACAGACGTTAATGATATATAAAAGAAAGATAAAATAGGGAAGATCCACAAAGGTAAAAGTTTATAAACTTTGGGTAAAATACTAGTGAAACCGACCCAGAAAAACAAATGAGGACATAAATACTCTATTATGCATGAATAAAGGGACACAATTACACAAGTTTCAGGCAGAAAAAGGTGAAAAGCAACATTATGAAGAGCTTTATCTCAATGTATTTTTAAACTTCAATGGACTTGATACATTTCTAGAGAAAAAATTACTGACCAATATTGAAACAAGAAGTAGAAACCTGAAAACTATTTTAAGAAATAGAGTAGTGAAAAATCTACAGATAAACCTCCAGAAAAATTTACCAATAAATGCTATAAAACATTCAAAGATAAATTAATTTCAATCTTATACAAACTATTTTAGGTAATAGAAAAAGAGAATCCTCACCTCATTTTATGAAGCTTGAATTGTCTTGACACCAAATTTAACAAGCCAATCTCACTCACAGATATAGATGTAAAATTCTTAAGCAAAATATTGTCAAACCAAATCTAGCAATGTATAAAATGGGTATAAGACCAAGTTGGTTTTATTTCAGAATGCAAAGTTTGTTTAACATTAAAACAGTCCAATTATATATTTCCTCAAATAAACTGTTTAAAGAAAAAAAGTCATATGATTATTTCAATAGCTGCCAAAAAAGAATTTTTAAAATTCAATGTCTACTTATGAGAAGAACCCTTAGTGAACTAAGAATAAAAGATTTTCTTTAAGCTGATAAAGAATGTGTATGGCAATTCTACAGCCAACGTATACTTAGTGGTGAGATACTGAAGCTTTCTCTTTAAGATTAGGAACAAGATAAGAGTGACTGCTTTATCCACTTCTCAATATTGTATTGAATATTTTAGCCAGCCCAGTAAGGCAAGAAAAAGAAACTAAAGATATAAAGATTGAGAAGGAAGAAATTCTTTACAAGTGATGTGACTGTGTACATAGAAAATCCAAAAGAAACTACTCATAAATTAGAATTATTAAGAGAGTTTAGCAAGCTTTCTGATAAAAAACTAATGTAAAAAAATTATCACATTTCCGTACTTCAACAAACTGATAGCAAATTAAATTATAGGAGTTATTTATAATAGATTAAACATATGAAGTACTGAGGACTAAAGACCTTTATCAAGAAAATTACAAAATCTTAATGAAGAACACTAAAGAAGACTGAAATAAATGGAACAATACAGCATGCTTATGAATTGGAAGATATAATATTATGAAGATTCCAATTAATCCAAAATCTATGAATTCATAGTCTATGAATTCAGTGCAATTCAATCAGAATCCCAAATGCATTGTTTTTATTGGGTTATTTGTTGGTTTGACAACTGATACTAAAATTTACATGGAAGTATTAAGATCTAAGAGAAGCCAAAATGCTCTTGAAGAAGAAAAACAAGAAGAGAGGATTTGCCCTTCAAATATCATTACTTATTACAAGGCTGTAGTAATGAAGAAGGTGTGGTATTTGCACAGGGATAAACAATCACACCAATGGAAAACAATGGAGTTCTGAAATATGGAAACTCTTCATAACAGAACTGGCATTGCAAATCAGTGGAAAGCATAAAGTAGTCAATTAATGATCCTGGAATAGTTGGTTATCCATGTGGGACAAAATGAAATTATATTAGCTTGCACTGTAAAAAAAAAATAAGTTTCAGATGTATTAAAAACCTAAGAAGAAACAAACAAAATGCCCTATGAAATGTTTAGAAGATAAGATATGAGACTATTTTTAAAACTCGGGATAGTAAAAGATATAAAACATAAAAGAAAATAATGATAAATTACATAAAAATTAACTTCTATTTTTCAAAATAAATCACAAAAAAAAGGCAGAAACAGGGAAAAGATATTTACAACAAAAATAACATATAAAATACTGGTATCTAAAGTATCCAGAGCTTCTGAAAATCAAAAAGAACAAACAAAGATCACCTTATAATGATATGTCAAAAAAAATGAATAGGAATTTCATATGAGAGGAAGCATAAACGGCATGTGAACAGATTTTTAACACCATTAGTAGCCAGGGAAAAATAAGACTACAGACCACAAGTTAAGACAACAGACAATTTCACACTCATCAGACTGCAAAAAATCAAAACTCTCACAGATATAAAGCAATGTAAGCTCCAGTTCCCTACTGGAGGGAGAGTGGATTGATATAATCATTTTGGAAAACAGTTTGACACTACCTGTGAAGGCAAGGAAGACTATCTTTTACTCACTCTGGGTCCTTTCTGGCTGGGCTATAAATTAGACCGAATAGCAGGAGAAAACCAAACAAAGCTTTGTAACATGTATACATGCCAGAAACCAGGGAAACTGAGTTTCTTGGTAAATGGCAGAGGTTTTCACCTTAAATAGCATATTCAGGTAGACAAAAGAGGATGTTGGGGGTGGGGAAGTCAGCTATGGGAGATGACCGGAAAGCACAGTAATCAAGAGTATGCAGATTTAAGTCCTCAGCTTCCTCAGTGATAAGAGTTTCTAGAGATGAGGTCATTCCCCTTCTTCCTGGTACAGAGAAGAAGATACCTTTACAAATGGAGATTTCCCTTAAATAGAACTTTGGTAAGAATGGGCTTAGCAAGGACCCTCCCAGTCCATCGCTTTTAGGCAGTATGGGGGAAGGTCAAATGTCCTTCAGAGAAAATAATCAAGGTAAAGAAATATATTTTGAGGAGTCCATTTCTGATTCCCCACACCTGCTAAAGTTGAAAATGACATGTCCTATGAACCAGCAATTCCACCATTAGATATTTAATACAGAAAAACTAAAGAGACACATGCGAAAAGTTTATAGCAGCTTTGTTGGTAATAGAACAAAACCCTGAAACAAACCAAAGGTTCTTCAAAAGCAGAAAGGATATTTAAATTGAAGTAAACTCTCACAATGAAGTAGTATAGAGTATCAAATGAATTAATTATAAAGCTGGGGTGGGCAACCTACAGCCCACGGGCCAGCTATCTGTTTTTATAAATGAAGCTTTATGGGAACAGTCACACCCGTTTATTTATGTACTATCTATGACTGCCTTCACACTGTAACCGTCCAGTTGAGCAGCTGCAACAGAGACTATATGGCCGGGAAGACTAATGTTTGCTAACTGATCCTTTACAGAAAAACTTTGTTGACTCCTGTTATAAGATCATTAAAGAGACTAATTACGTTTTCATGAATCAACATAGATGAATCTCAAAATCAGAATGGTGAATAATAGAAGCAAATCACAGTTATATATATATGTATATATATGTATATATATAAACAGATATATATAATTATATATATATGTTTGTGTGTACATGTATTCTATTTCTTCAATGTTCGAAAAAAGGCAAGATTAAATAATATATTGTTTAGGGATAATATGTTTCTTTAAAAACATGGAAATGCTTTGACCTAAAATTCATGATAGTAACTATTTGGCATATATTTGAAGTATTTGAAAGGAGCATGTACGATGCTACCAGATTTATGGTGATGCTCTATTTCTTAGCCTGGGCAGAGGGTACCTAGGTGTTTGTTGTGTTATTTTTCTTAAAATGTACATTTGTTTTATGTACTCTTTTTAATGCATACCATATTTTACAATAAATATTTTAACATTATAAATCAAGAAAAGTGTTCATGATATTGTTAAATGAGAAAAATATTGCAGGGGCCGACCAGGTGGCACAGCGGTTAATTTCACGTGTTCCATTTTGGCAGCCCAAGGTTCACTGGTTCAGCTCCTGGGTGCAGACCTACTCACCGCTCATCAAGTCATGCTGAGGCAGCATCTCACATACAAGAACTAGAAGGACCTATAACTAGGATATACAACTATGTGCTGGGGCTTTGGGGAGAAAAAAAGAAAAACAGGAAAATTGGCAATGGATGTTAGTTCAGGGCCAATCTTCCTCAAAAAAAAAAATATTGCAAAACAGTAAAGGTCATATGATCCCATATGTAAAGAAAACAAAGATATATATCCATGTCTATGTGAATATCTATGTATAGAAATAAGACTAAGGATATTAAGTGAATACATGTGGCATTTGTAAACAGAAAATAATGCAATGCTATTTTTAAAATATATATTATGCAGCTTGTAAATGATGCATATGAAAATCTTGTAATTCAATGGAAAATAATAAGTTATAAAGCAGGATGTGATATAGTATATACAAAATTATCTCGAATATATGAAAATGTGCAAAGAAAAAAAGCTGAATGGAAGTTATCTAAATGTTAGTAGTGCGTGATTTTACATGGTATA